TCAGAATGCCAGCCTCCCTAGACTCGGGCCCGACTCAGAATGCCAGCCTCCCTAGACTCGGCCCCGACTCAGAATGCCAGCCTCCCTAGACTCGGCCCCGACTCAGAATGCCAGCCTCCCTAGACTCGGAGGCAGAGATCAGAGTGAGATCCTGGAGGACCACCCCAGAGCTATGGCACACAGTATGGGATGGCCCAGTAAGCAAGGTAAGCACAGACTTTCTTGTGCTTTTTTCCTAAGCTGTAGTAAACAGTTTCACGCGTTTGTCACTAACTACATCAACGTTCCCTACAGATGAGTTGCCAACCGAGACCTATATCCTGGGCACACATGGGGTCCTGGGTTCCGAGCTGGACCTCCAGGGTGCAGGGGGCCAGTCTCAGGTCTGCTTTCTCCCTGGCACTGTTTTGGTTGGTGTGACAGTTAGATTTCACGTCCCCTTGACGATGTGTGACGTGTAGGGTAGAATCTGTTCCGTTAATCAAGTGCCTCCTTTGGCTTTTTACAAGAGAGACCGTGAGAACATCTTTCTCTCTTGCCCTTCACCTCCATCCTTGCTGAGACTCTTGCATGCCTCCAGGGATGGCCCCATATGGGCCGCCTGCCCCCGAGAGCTGCCATGTTCCCACCAACCTTGGGTCCAGGAAGTTCAGCTCCCACTGGCTTGTGATCACCCTGTTTCTCCCGCCACGGTTCTTTGCCATTGGCCTGCAGCTATGTGAGTCTGTAGAAGACTCCGGAGTTGGACTTTACATCAAGGTCTGCCATCTTGATATAAAGTCCCTCCTTGTCCATATGTGAGTGTCATTACTTTTCTTTCTGAAGGTGGCTCGGGAGACCCCACGCGTCACAGACTAGCACCACTTCACAGGCTTTTCCTGGCTGTCACCCCAAGGCCGGGGAGTTTGTACCCGGAACCTTTTGGCTGCCAGCCACTTGTCCCACCCAGGGACTTTAGCTCTGCTCCCTTAATGGCTTCCGCTTCCACAGCTTCCTCCCCTGGGCTGACAGCTGGGCTCACAAATGACCCTCCAGAGTCCTTCCTCCTGCCGGGCAGCTGCACAGAGCCGAATCTGGGAAGAGGTGTACATCCCCTGGAAGCTGCTTCTCCAAGTCTTGGCCACGTTCTGGCTTTGCTCAGCTCTGCTCTCCAGGTGGCCCCAGGGCCAAACCCTGGAGAAGTTGTTCCCAAGGAGACTCAGATATCAAAGGGTCCTTCCAAACCACCTCAGAGTCCATGGGTTGAGCAAACACAGGGCCCTCTGGAAGGCTTGCAAGAATACAAGAATGGGTTAATTCCCAAATAATATGCTCAATTCACAGGAGGACCAAAACAAAGTGCGTCCAAAGAATCATTCCTTTAAGAATAAAAAAAATCACTTCTCTTTGTTGGTCACTAGGGACTAGAGGGCACTTCACTCTAGTATTCCTCATTATAACACCCCCACTCAATCTATGAAGCCCCGCACCCCTCCCAAAGGAGACCACCTTACCTCTTTCTGGAGACTTGTGGTCTTGGGCTCTGGACTAGGGATTGCATTCTCGTCCTCTCTCCTTTTCCTCAGGCTCGTTTTCCCCATTTCTCTCTCCGACCAGTCCTCAGAAGCTGAAAGGAGGGCAGGGGCCGTTCAGCAAACGCGTGGCTGACACGACGTGAATGGGAACCCAGCCCAGGGCCTCCTCAGGCAGCGTCTCTGGGCTGTGGGAAGGTGCTCCGACAGCCCACAGTGAGCTCAGACTTCAGGCAAGGATGGTCGCTCTGTGAGGTAGCAGAACAGGAACGAGGGCTTGCCCCTCTCCATGCTAAGGCCTCCCTCCCAGTGTACAGGAAGTTGGAAGACGATCAAGGCTAGAGGACATGCAGAAATGCAGGCCCTTGAGATAGGAAGCCAGTACACCAATCTAGGCCGGGTGCGCTTCACTCAGCCAATGGGTCAGCCAGTACCATCCCCCACGCCTCCCAGCTGAAAGCCCCCAAAGGCTGAAACTTAGAGCCCACCGCCCTCTTTTCCCGCTGTTCCTGAGGTCTCCACTTGTGGGTGTGACCTGAGGGGGCCTGTGTAAAACCCCAAACTTCTTCCATCCTTTATAAAAAAGCTCACTTGGATCACAAACCAGGCTTGGCGTGAATTCTTTCTTGTGCAAAGCCCAGGACCGAGGTATTTCTCACCCGAGGAAGCCAACATCCAGTCCCGTAGTCACCCTTCAGTCCTGGAACTAGATATTAGTCGTTAATCTGAATGAATTCTGTCAGGCCACAGGAAGCGGAGCTTCGGCCCCGCTCCCAAGCTCGCAGGCCTGTTAGCACCTCCTCGCCCTCCGGCTGCCAGGCTGGGAAAGCAAATTTACCTCCCTGGGCCAACTTGAACTTTTCACAAGTCACATATGTCTTTTAAATGAATGCGTATACCAGAATATGCACAGTGGGGCCAAATGTGGGGAAGAACTCTTTGGCTCTTCATTGCGCCTCAAGCGCATTAAGACAGCTCATGTCAGATAGATCCATCGGATGAGCATTTTCTGATGGAGTGATGGACAGAAAGGTGGGGGCAGGGGGCCGGAATCACTGGGGAAAATCAGTTCAAAGCCACCTCAGAACGGGCCTGAAGAGCAGCCGACTCCCCTGGCCCCGGTCTTACCTTCTCCCTTGACCTTGCTGATCCCGAGGAGAGGCTGCCGGGCTGACCAACCGCATGCGTGCGTCTGCCGAGGCGCACCCCAGGAATGGCCATGTCTTGTGCCCAGGAGTGGAGGAAGCCAGAGTACAGAGGTCGGCAAAGGTAATGATTAAACCCGCCCTGTTTTGAACACCCACCACCACAAGAAGGGGCGGGGAGGACCAGGCACGCGACCTTCCCTCCAAAATGCTGTTGCTGCCCCCCCCCCCACGCCCCACATCTGCCACCTCCCTCGAGGGAGGTATCTTTCTGAAGAGTGAAACAGCGTTTCAAACACCGTCGTGCGGCATGTTCGGCGGTAAACTTTGGAACAGATTCTTTTATTGCATTCCTGGGCTTTGCTTACAGCTCAGGGGAGCCCCGTGGTAATTGCTATAGTCAGATGTTTCCTCCCAGCATCCTTGGCCTGCTTTCCCAGCACCCTAGTGACCTTTGGCAGTGACTGACCGGGGTACCACCTGGCAAAAGGGGGGCCCTGCAGGGAGGTCCAGGTTCTGCCTGGTCTCCATTACGGCTCCCCGCAAACCCAAGTCGGAAGGGGCGGTGGTGCCATTAAAGTAGCCCAGTCACAGGACTGTAGGGTGGCAAAGGGACACAAAGCATCCCCACAGGCACTGGCCTGATGGAGAAACTGAAGCCCAGAGACGACAAGCTCTGTCCCTTCCTGCCTCTCTGACCAGGGACGGTGGGGGGGTGGGGGGTGGGCCGGGAGCAGGCAGGGGCGGTGTGTGCTGGGGGACAGAGGCCTGCTCTGGGCTCAGACTCTCCAGACTGTCCTGTGAGAGGCTACTGAGAGGAGGCATGAAGACAGCTGGTGCTGAGGGCCCCGAGCACTGTTGGTATTATCACTGCTGCTGCAGCTTGTCAAACGTGCGTGGAGAAGCTGAGCGCCCTCCTCCAGTGGCAGCACCATTCCAGAAGGCCGGCACTTTTGCTTTGGGGAAATGTAGCAGTGTCCCATTTCCCCAGACGGCTCCAAAGGCCACGGGCGGGCGAGCCAACAGGGGTGGCTTTGGGAGCCTTTGGAGGCCAGCCGACAGATGTCTCAGGGCTGTCTCCTTCCGCCCTCTGAAGGATGGCAAGTCCTAGGAGGCTGAGCCCTGGCAGCAGGGCACCTGCTCCCCTGGGCTAGCCACTTGTCTCCCCGCTCCAGACAGAAGCGGCAGCACTCCATCCTTGTTTGCCAAACCCCACAGGGGGCTCCCTGATGCCACCAGTGGGCTGGTGACATTCTGACAGAAGCCAAGTGAGGGAAATCCGATCCTCTTACAGAAACCCAAGGAGGCAGGTCTGATAGACTGAAGCCATGGGAGGAGGGTAAGCTTGGGGTCAGGCAGCTCATTTCTAAGCCGCAGGGTCCAAATCTTAAACAGCAGTGAGTGACACCCACCCCCTGGTGGAAGTGTGAGGTTTGGTAGGTTATCTATTAACCCTTCTGCTTCTGTTAGTTCGGGGGACCACCCTGGGCCTTCGGGGTCTTTGCCAAGTGCAGCATGTGGAACATCTGGCCTCAAGGACTATGGTTGTCAGAAACCGACACTTTAGTTAATTTTGGGTTGATAGTGAGTAATCTTTTAAATAATTTTATTGGGGCTCATACAACTTTTATCACAATCCATTGTGTCAAGCACATTTGTACATTTGTACATTCTTTTCTTAAGGCTTGGGGCTTTATTTGTTTTTTTCCCCAGCAAAGTGAATGTTCAACCAATTATCATCATAATTTTTTCTTGTGGCAAATAATTTGGATTTGATAAAAACCGTTTCGCCCCCTCCAATTGTTCTTCAAGACTTTGGCTTGTCCTCCAGGTCTCTGTGTCTCATCACATGGCTGAAGTTTCCCTCGCTGCAGTCAGTTCCCTCCACAGTCACTATCTGTGGAAGTTTCTTCTGTTTTTCATGCCACTCCATTGTTTCGTAGGGTTCTGTTATAGCTCTTGGTCTGGCCCTTCAAAGTGTGCTTTTCCACGGTAAAGATGCTTGCAGTTTGAAGATGTTATCACCACCTGCCTTTGGTTTGCTCTTCTCCTACTTGGGAGCTTCAAAAGTTGAGTGGAAAAATGGAATTAACAGTGGAATTTTAACAGGTAGTGGAATTGATTTCTCCAGTGTCCCTCAGTGCCTGTCTTCTGAGCATCTCCTTCTGATTCAATTGTGTCCACCTCAACCTCTCACAGGAGAAGTAGCATCTTTGCCAACAATCCAGGAAGAGAATGGCTCTTCCTTTCTGATGTAGGACTTGTTCCACCATGCCTCTGAGTGTTCAGACACGTTCCTGCCCATTGAGTTTGGGGCTTTCCTAAAGAGACAAACAAATCTAGCCGGGAGAGTGGGTTCAATAAAGGACTCACAGACACAATGCTACTCAGGACTCCTTTCCTTAATTTAAGCATTTTGTTCTGCAGACCTAATCCCACTCACTCTCCCCTCACCTCCCTCTCCCAAGATTGGTTTTAGGCTGTGGCTCTCACAGATTATGTAACAGGGATCCACTTACCTGCCTGAATGTCACCCAGAAAAACTCGGGAAGAGTCCACTGGAATGTGCAGAGTCTTTAAACGCCAAAGATTTACAATGTAGAATAAAACAATTAGCAAGGAAAGCAAGATCTTATTGGATAAATCATCTAGATCTCTAAGAACTAGTGGATTAGTGCCAGTCTGTCTTAGAACTTTGTCCACAACTAGTATGTTTCAAGTGATAGCATTTCCTCCAGATGGGCTCCCTGAGCAAAGATTTTTGGACTTTCATCATTTCCACCTCCTAAAAATAAGGCTCTCTCTCCATCCTGCTCTCCCGAACCGCCCCCCCCACTCCTCTAGCTGTTCACCATTTCCATCCCTTTATCAGCCATACTTGTCATGCATGATGATGAAAAGTTGTACTCGATAGAGAGATCTGACCAAGTAGTTAACTACAAGTATCTTGGTTAATAAGGAGCCGCCACTTTGTAATAACTCTTCTGCCTCCATTGCTTTGTCTTTGTGGGATTCTCACGTAGCCTCAGGAGCTGCCACTTGAGTGCCCCACTTCTCCACCCACAGTGACTCGGCCAAGAGGATCCTCTTTACCAGGACTTTGTGTCCTGAGTGGAGAAGGGCAGGGAAGGTTGGCAGAGTCCCAGGACTAAGATCTCCCATTTTGTGAGTTGCCTTGTGTATAGTTCCAAAATGTTTCTTCCTGTTAGGCAGTATCAATTTCTGTTCCTTGTAATGTAATCCTGATAAGGGTATATGTCTGTACCACGTGCCATTGTTGTTAGGTGCATTGAGTCAGCTCTGACTCATGGTGGCCTGATGTGGCCCCACCCTAGGCCATCTTCACATGCATTGGGTCCATTGTTGGGCTATGCCATAGTTTGTGCCTTCTGGCCCACAGGGCTCATCTTCCAGCATTATGCTGGACAGTGTTGTCTTGTGAGGCACTGGGTTGTCATTGGGTAATTTTCAGAAGTAGATCCTTAGGCCTTTCTTCCTACTTTGTCTCAGTTTGGAAAACTCTGCTGAAACCTGTCCACCATGGGTGACCCTGCTGGAATTTGAAATACCAGTGGCATAGCTTCTATAACCGTAGATGCATGCAAATCACCACAGTGCAACAAACGGACAGATGGGTGGTGGTTATTTGATAGAGACCCTTCCTGTGCAAAGTGGAATGCACAGGACCCTCTTGACCGGGGTGAAATGCGGGAGAAGAAGCCTCCCCGGGCATCGGAAGCTCCCGAGATAACCTCAAGATGGCAGAGGCTCTCAGCTCCGAGGCTGCCGAGTTGACCAGCAGATTCACCACCTCTTCTCATCCCTGGCACCTCTTCTCATCCCTGGCATGCTTACCCACAGCCTCCGAGCCTTTGGTGGACGTGTTTGGATCAGTCCAAGGAAGCCACCACACGGACTCCTCCCCTGGGAAGTCCATTCTGTGACCAGGGGCTCACAGCTACTTTTCCGTTGTTTGGAGACACCGCTGGCTTCCCCAGTCGTAGAACATCCCAACAGCCTGTGAGAGCCCGTGCAGACCAGAAATAACACCCCTCCACCGCCGTTCCTCCAACCCAATCTTGTCAGCAATGTGAATTCTCTCTTCTACCTCCACCTCCCAACAGCCTGAGGAGGCAAGCTCAGCTGGAGCAGAGCAGAGTGTTGCCCAGACCTGGCCAAGTGGAGCCTGCCTGTGCGTCTCAGCCTCTGATGCCAGCTGTCCACTAAGGGGCATCTCCATTCTTTATGGGCTGTCAGCATCCAGTTCAGCCTGAGCTATGCAACCCCAGATGGATTGTGGCGGTCTGGCCACAATCATCTATAGGCCCTTCCTCTGAGGGTCACTGCCTTCCTCCGACGCAGAAGGGACACTCGTGAGACACCCCAAATCAACAACTGCTGCTTTCAGTTCCTGCCAACAGCACAGATCTGGGGGTGACCAAGCCCAGCACTGCACTGAGCCCAACCCATTGCTATTGTAGCAGCCCTATAGGACAGCATAGAACCACTCCTCGGGTTTTCTGAGACTGCCAGTCTATATGGGAGCAGACAGCCTCATCTTTCTACTATAGGGTGACTGGTAGATTTGAACTATCAATCTTGTGGTTCACAGCCCAACCCACTGCTAATATTGCTGAACTGAGCACTGGAGGCCAAATACTAGAATGCTTCTTTCCTCTTCTTAAAAACAAATTGAACTCCCTGGGGGATGGACAACAGAAAAGTGGGTGAAGGGAGATGTCGGACAGTATAAGATATGACAAAATAATAATGTATAAGTTATCAAGGGTTCATGAGGGAGGGGGAGGGGGGAGTAGGGAGGGAGGGGAAAATGAAGAGTTGATGCCAAGGGCTTAAGTGGAGAGCAAATGTTTTGAGAATGATGATGGCAACAAATGTACAAATGTGCTTTATACAATTGATGTATGTATGGATTGTGATAAGAGTTGTATGA